ACGGCTATCTACGACTACGAGGCTGCCGAAGATAACGAGCTGAGCTTTGGGGAGGGAGCCATTGTCACCGGTCTCGTACGGCCCCCTTTCCCCCCCTTCTCGCTAGACTGTACAGACACTAACAGGAACACCAGGAATTCCCCGACGAGGACTGGTGGTTTGGTCACCACCAAGGCAAATGCGGCCTCTTTCCCGCCAACTATGTAGAGCTCGACGACTAAGCAAGAAATTAATTGTAGAATACGCGAGCCCGCTTTAGCGAGGTATCTGTGGCGGACTTTCTGGGGACATGTAGAATTTGAAAGTACGGAGCTCGTCGAAGCACGCTTGGTGTGTGCGACTGACGGCGGGCTAATGGGGGTTGACTGAGCAATCAAAGCGAACATTTTGTCTGACATGAAAGAACCATATATAAAAACCTAGAAGTCCTTGATTGATATGTTGAGGTGGCTGCCAACGCCAATGCCAATTTGCCGAGGTACGTAGGTAGGTGTCTTGGCACCTCCTCCAGACATTACCGTAACTTAAGCTTTCGCAAGCATGAAGCGCATGAAAGTCTGTTGAAAAAATCTTTACACTCCTCAGCAAGTGCTTTCAGCTCTTCCATCACGATTTTCGCTATCATAGGGACAAGTTCTGTGAAAGGGAATTAGGATTATTCCTTTTTTTTTTTTTTTTTTACTTGACAGTTGTGGAAAGAAACCAAGAGTGAACATTACGACCGCTATGCTTTGCTTTGCCAAGTGTGTGGGAGAGAAGGAGTCGTTGAAAAGAAAGCACCAGGCAGGAATTAGCCGTCGTTATCACGCTGCATGCATGCACTATGTCCCCCCCTCCAAAACCCTCCCTGGTTCAAATCGAAAAGATTCGCGGTTCGCGGTTCAATGCCCCGAGTCTTGAGATAGTATCCGCTATTACTTGTTGTTATTGCAGGTCTGTCTGTCTGTCTGTGTTGGAGGGGGGGGGAAGCTATAGTCTTATTTCGCGCCGCTTTCCATCCATTCGGTTGGCCTGGTCTGGTCCGGTCCGGTCTGGTCTGGTCTGGTCTGGTAGTTTTGCTCTCTAGCAGCAGCACTCTGTTATGATAGACATTAGCGAATTGACTCTTTCTTTGGGGGAGTTGGCAGGAGAACGTACCAGCGCACTCGGCGCACATCTCGCACCCTTCTTCGGCAACGCAGCAACAGCACAAGGTGGCGAGACAGACGCCGAGACAGCCTCCTCCGCACGCACCACCTTTCTGCTTGGGTGCTTGTTGCTGGAACTGCATTGGTTGCTGGCGAGGCGGAGAGAGGAGAGATGTGTTAGCTTTCTGATACTGCGGAGTGTATATATATATACGAAGACTGGGGGGTGATAGTGGGAGAGGAGAGGAAGGACGGTATTCTACTTACTTGTTGCATTGGAGGGCCTTGTTGGTAACCGCCTTGGTATTGACCTTGGGGGGGTCCGCCGTACTAGATGCGAAAGTTATCAAATCAGTCAGTCCTTGGCCAAGTTCGCTTCGTCGCGTATCATTTTTTATCGCTTGGGAGAGGATTTGGAAGAAGGATTTGCTCTGCGACGAAACGAACGACGCACCGATTGTTGGGGGTATTGCGGAGCGGCGTATCCTTGTTGAGGTCCTCCGCCGTATTGAGGCTGCTGGCCGTATTGTTGTTGTTGCGGCGGAGGTCCTTGTTGATAGTATCCTTGATTCGACATGGTGACTGACGCTTCTAGATGATCAAAGAAAAGGTCAGCGTCGGTCCACACGAAGTATTAGAAGAATTCGATTGGGAGGCGCACTTTGGTTTGATTGGAATTTAGGAAATAATAGTTGGTTTAGTGCTTATGCTCGGGTGATGGTGATCGTTGGTGGTTTGTTTGTTTAAAGGTCGTGGAGGGTGAGTGGTTTTGGTGAGGCCGAGGTGAACAGAGAAGAGCTGGGTTGATTTGAGTTTCCGATGGAGGGGGCGCGCCAAGCTATACCTATAAGCTGGGAGGAGGGGCTCGTCAATCAATAGTCATGAATGCCCGGGCTGACCGGGTTAACGGGTGTAGGATCAACAACATCAACAACCTCTCGCTTGTCTGGACCTGTAAGGACCTGTAGGGGGCACTTCCTCAAACAACGTTCAATTCTTCCGCCCACTACCGATACTACTATATCATGTCAAAGTCATCTACAGCAGGACAAGCTGGGCATGTCTGCTATCCTCTAGCACAGTCGCAAAGAGGCAGCTCCAACTCCCATCGTGGGCCTCGAGCTCATACATAGGCCGCTACAGACCAGGACAGTATGCTCTTGAGCCACGATCGATTCGCAACGCTTTTCAGGTGAGTTGTTGTGATGAGACCTTCAGGCGAGGCGATTGAGGTGGAAAGCTTGTCTACTCGTCAAAAGCCTTGGCCAAGGGAAGCTTATTAGGTCGGTACAGGTTACAGGTACCAGATCATCAGCCTTAGGCAAGTTCGGATATCAACCTCATGCAGATTTACTACATACAAGTTGGCCCGCTATCTCGTTGCTCTATAACCTAAAGACCGCCCGGCTCAGATCAGCTCGACTCGTCTCCGAATCCAATCGCCAGGTGCAGTTGCTATCACGTGCCATCCCATGACGCGAACTCGCTAGTGCGGGCGCATTGTAAGCAGTGCTCTGCGATGGGAAGAGAATACGAAAGTTTAAAATCCCCCATCACCAGCAAACACACAACCCGACAACCGTACGCGCGATTGCCCAGATTTTCGACAAAGTTGAACTATCGCCCATCGGTTCTTCCTTATCTTCATCTCCATCTTCTTCTTCACATTCAATCTACAAGCCAGCCTTTGAGGCTGTACCCTCTCTTCGACACCATCCCTCAAAATCAGTACCCCGCCACGCGGTCAACAACCCCTCCCCGCCCATCTCCCATAAAAAATCACCACATACAAGAGCAAGACCTTGTCGTCAACGCCCATCTTCTTTCCTTCGAATACCAAAAGCCTGTGAACAAGCCGTCAAAAGCTCTGCGCTCTACCAACTGCCCGAGATGTCTACGCTTCTGGAATTGAAAACCGAGGAGGAATGGAACCAGTATGCGGCTTCCGTGCCATCTAACACACTTCAGGTCCTCTACTTCAAAGCTGAATGGGCTGCGCCAGTAAGTAATCTTCTTTTATGCTATATGCGTTGAACTATTCACAGCCCGTAGCACATGCCCTTCGTCTCTGCTTGCTGCTACTTGAACCCAGTGAGCAGTGCTAACGATGACCCAGTGCAAGCAAATGACCACCGTCCTCCAAACCCTCGCCTCTTCCTATCCCGTCACCGAACCGCTTTCTACATCATGGGTCTCACTGGATGCGGAGGATGTTCCGGACGTTAGCGACTCCTTCGACGTTACAGCAGTTCCCTTCCTCGTGCTCCAAAGAAACGGCCAGGTCCTTGAGACGGTCAGTGGAAGCGACGCCATGAAGGTGCGAGCTGCGATTGAGAAACACTCCAATTCCACGACTGTCCCCACAACTGCCAATGGTGCAGCACATACGCCCTCAAACAACGGCACAAGTGCAAAGAACGTCAGCAGCTCTGCGCCAACCACGCAGGACTCCGCTACCGCCCCTGAAATTCCTTCTGCTGAGATTAAGGAGGACAAGGAGGCGTTACACAACAGGCTGTCATCGCTGGTCAAGGCTGCTCCGGTAATGCTGTTTATGAAGGGCACGCCAAGCGCTCCGCAGTGTGGTTTCTCGAGACAGTTGGTAGCTCTGTTGAGAGAGAATTCTGTCAAGTATGGGTTCTTCAATATTCTAGCGGACGATGAGGTCCGGCAGGGACTGAAAGAGTTTGCCGATTGGCCAACTTTCCCTCAGCTGTGGGTTGACGGTGAATTGGTCGGTGGTCTGGACATAGTGAGTGGTTACTAGATCTGCTACAAATAACTGTGTGCTAATTGTGGTCTAGGTCAAGGAGGAGATGGGCAATGATCCCGATTTTCTGAAGCCGTATAGCGTAGTAAAGAGCACACCTGCAGCTCCTTCTCAGGAGACCGCTACGGCTACGGCCTAGAATGACGATGTTATACCCAGCTTTTCGCGGAGGAGAAAGCTTTTACGAGTCTTAGAGTTGGTGATCTTTAGCAAGTTAATGCCGCGTCGGCTTTTCCAAAAAAAAAATTTCTATCAAGCACTTATGTGCATATGTGGTGACCAGATGAGATTCCACTTCAAGTTTCCCTTCCAATCGATCAGGAGCAGGAGCAACGATCCATCGCAAAGTGAAAAGATCTCTAACTTGTAAAATTCCGCTGAAACCCAACCCCCTTCCCCCCCCC